GAATCCATAAGCTGCATAGAAAAGTAACAAAAGGAAAATATCCATTATTATATTAATTGATTTAAAGTCTCCTACTGATATATCTTAATTCACCAGCTTATTATGGTTATAGCATCTTTAGAATGCCATAACAAGAGTGAAAAGGGAATGCAGCAGCAGACGTATTAACATAGGCCAAATCAAGGAGCAAAATGATTTAAAAACTAAGATATAGATGTTGGTGATAATGAAGCTTTATTTAAAAAAAAAAAAAGTTAGTGATAATGAAGCTTAAACAGTAACGATATTATCGCTACACATGTATACATGTATGCATACCTATAATATAAAATGGAGATCATGCAATTACCTTCGGTGTGAGTACTAGCTGGGAGGAATCTATCCTGAATTTTGCATCCACGAGACACACTAAGCTATATTTGGAGAAACTACATGAACGTGCATGCATGTACACTTGCACAAATAGAGAAAGGGAGTTTAGACTGCAGGGTTCCTCTTTATAAAAATTTGTACACATTGCTTTAACTTACCTAATGTTGTTCCTAATCCAGAAAAGTAATGCAGAAATTATATAATATGTAAACCCTTGTTACAAGTTTGGAAACAAGATCTTTAAAAACAACCATAAACAGAAAAATACGAGAACAGACATGAGGAAAAAATAGGAAATGCAATTTATGTCTGCCTTGTTTTTTATCATCTTCTTATTCTTTTTCCTCGCTATGCAAAATATGTGAATTTTAAGAGTCCATGCTTAGAGATCCTTGAACATATATCATTTCAAATAAGGCACAACAACAATATTATCATCCTTCACTTATAATTCTCTACTTGGATGTTTTAAGAGGGTTTCTACGTCGACTAAAACCATTTAATTATTTCCTAAAAAGTTACAAAAGCCAAAATGCAATATGTAACATAATAGGTGACTGTCTAACAAACTTCGCCGTATAAAAACTCCTCTTAGCTCTTACAATAAGCAATAATTTAATCCAATGAGAAAGATAAAAGAACCATTTATCAATACAAGTGACTAAGACTCTTCATCATTTGTTGACAACACAAATTTATTGTGTATCTTTTAGACGCAAGAAAAAGGACCGTTAAAAAAAAACTTCTGTGACTAGATTGATAGAAATACTCATGCGTACACTCATTTGATATCAGAATATTCCCTACTCAAGGAATACCTTTATTATCAACTCCTTGTAAATCATCAAATGTTACTGAAATTCAAAATTCAACGAAAATCTACACAGAAAATACATTTAAGTGACCATACTCTGCACGAAACTAAAGGATTATTCCACAAAGTTGAAAGAAATTCATGCAGAACCGAGCGGAGCATATCCACTAACCATAACACAGACAACATGTAAAACCTAAACCACTAGTGGATACCAAAGGGTCGACTTTTACAAACTTCAAACACAGAACGACTGCCCGAATCAATCACTCAATGCAGCAACGAATTAACCGATAACAAAAGCGAAAAAAAATCAACAAACCGTCAATTATTCACACAAAGCAGAAAGACAACCCTGATGCATTTTCCGATCACAGGATAAAATCAAACCTTACTCCCTTTCAAAATCACACTGAACAGAGAGGTTGATCGAAACCTCGCAAAATCAAAAACCAAAGAAATGTACTGAACATCAATCTGAAAAGATCTCAAAGCACCGAAGCAAACAAACAAACAAACTGCATTGGTTTACGGAAAACCCAAAAAACCAGCGGAAACCGATACCACCACGAACAAAACCACCGAAGACAAAACCAGAACCAAACAAAAACCACCTTGAAAAAAAAAAACTCACTTTGAGTAAACAGAGGGAAGGAAAGAGGACTAAACCAGCGATACCTTAGTAGAGAAGGCTTGAGCTCGGTAGAGAGAAGAAACGGAGAGGAGAGCAAATGGGTTTTGGTTGTGGTGCGTTTTGCTGGTTTTGGTTGGTTTGGTTTTTATTTCCCCGCCGTGAGCTCTTGGGTTCCTCAAGATAAAACGACTCTCACTTGCGCTCCTCTGCCCGGCGAGCTGATAGACTGCCACGTGTCGCATGACGTCACGCTCTTAAGACAGCGTGAAATTGCTCCCCTTATTCTCCCTTCTTTTTCATGGTTTAAAGATGCATCTTTTGTTTCCTTCTTAGATTTTTGATTTTAGTTGAAGGAATTAAATTTTTGGGATATTTCTCCAATTTTACGTTACAACTTTTTTAATTTGTTAATATAATAATTAAAAAATACATTTGTTGAGAATGGAAAAATATATACATTTTTTGAATTTTTTCATTAAATTTTTTTTTTTTCTTCAAAAAGAGAGAGCTTTAATAACTTTATTAGTATGTGTAAAAAAGAAAATAGCATTAAATTTTGTTTACAAATTATGATATTTAATGGGAATTTTATGAAATATTTACAAATATATATATTATTACATATTTTATATAGTACAATATACAAAAATCATTTTAAATTTATATTTAATTATATAAAATTATGACAATATATAATTAATTTTTATGCACAAAAACATTAACATTATTTAGTTTCTTTGTGTATGTATATTATTTTATGAATCTCTAGAGATGAATTGGACTTTTTCATTATTTAATTATCACTCTCAATATCATATTTATATTATGTTAAGGGATGAATGATATAATTTTTTGATGGAATTAATTAATCAACTGTACATAACTGTATAATAAATTTAAATAATCACAAAGTATGATGGATTTTGTATAACAAAATAAATCTACGTCGTTACGATTAATACTTGCAGGAAATTAATTTAACTTAATTTTACAAGTTAAATATGAATAAACGAAATCTAATAATTACATATTTCTATATGCGTCATAAATTCTGACAATAATATTTTTTGGAATCAATCGACTATATGTACCGACAAACACGAACAACTTAATTTTAAAAAACTGTTAACTTTTTTGTGAAGTCACTTTAATTACGTAACGGTATGATTCTACAACTGTATAACTAATTTTTTTTTACGAAATCTATTAACTCCACTTAACGACATAAATATAAATAATGATGAATATCAAATCACTTGACTGCATGGGAACAAGTAACGACATTAATCCCATGTTAAGTCTAAATAACGACAAAATATTAATTATTTAACTTCAAACCTATGATAGTTAACAATAATGATGTTACCTATTGTTCATACTTGCTTTGACATGATGTTTTAAAATTTTCATGTATTTTTACGATCCACATACATACATCCAAATACTGATTAACCCTAATCCTAATTGGGTATTGGCGTGGTATTGTTTTAAAATTTACATTACTCTTACGAATATGGCTTCTACTTTGCATATATGTGGTGTCACATGAGTAAAACACCAAATACACTACAAAAAAAATATATATGATTATAAATGAAGTCAAAAATAGCCATATTCTAATAATAATAACTAGGCATGATTAGCTGCCAAAATAGTGAGTTGGTCTTATGAGTTTTAATTCATGCTTGCTCTAAGCTTGAAAAGACATTATTAAAACCCAACGTGACTCGTGTGTTAACAAACTATCGTTCACAAATTTCATATCAATTTGACACTCCAACTAAGTAAATAAAAGAGCGAGAGAGCAAGCGCGCGTGCGCGAGAAAGCGAGAGAGAGAGAGAGATAGAAGAATGTGAGTAAGAATAAAGAGTAAATATTTCACATTTATCTTACCCTATCTTTTAATTCTTTGACCTTAAAAAATCTAAAGTTAATGACAGAATAATAACATTAATCTCTTATAGTAATAATATGACCATCTATTTAATAATTATTGCATGACCATAAAATTGATGGTAATAACCTAGATAGTGGATTATATAATGTGTTTAATGTCCAAGTTTCTAATATTATGATTTATGGTTGATTATTGTTTGAAGAAGTTTCGCGTACTCTGTTAATTATTTTTATTACTTTATGTCCGTTATCACATCAACTATATTATTAATAACAAAGTTTTTTCTTCTTTTTTTTATAAAAAAAATAAACAATTCGACTAAATTACTAAGTATAGTTAATATTTTTTCGTCTTGTCACTTTTTTTTATTA